ATATCAATATATCAAAGTTTTTTTTTTTTTTTTTTTTTTATCGAAATCTTATTGACATACACGAAAAAACCTCATATCGTGGTAAAAACAATACAAGTTTTCTTTTGATTAGAATCTAAACTTAATATTTTTTTTAAAATAAAAAAATGCACTTGCTTTTTATACTAATTTTTCCATTGAATTAATATTTGATAACTGTTGAAAAAATGTTGTTTTATTAAAAATCATAACAACTCTATATCTGATTAAATTGTATCAAATGTATCTTACGTTGATGTGAAATGCAAATTGTATTTATTGGTTCTAGTAAATTGTTAATATCATCATGCTACTTTACTAATTACAGTTAAGTTAATGTAAATAAAAATTGTGTTATGATATCAGGACATCGTTAGCTAATATAAATTGGGATTTCGTGTTCCATAAATTGTATACATTATTAACGCAGATTATGTGTTTAATGATATTATTTTAAGACTATTGAAATTCATTGTAGAGAAAAAATATTTCGGGTTAGTAAATATTTTATATGAATTAGCACTTTGTTGAGATAATTAACCAAGAAAAAATTGTTCATACGTTATATAAAAAAAAAACGCCTTCACAAATGAATTACTATCAATTCTTTGAATAAAGTTAAGTGTAAGTCATAGTTCAAACTTGTAAGAAATATTTTTTATACTAATAATTTTATTCAAACTAATTCTAAATTATTTTGAAAATTCTTTATAGATCAAAAATCATGACCCTTTCTAACACTATGATTTTTGATAATAACCTCATAACGATAGAGAAGTAGTGATAATTTAAAAACTTAATAAAAGTTTAATTGATTTTTTCGGTCAATAATAACTTGGTTGAAGTTAATCTGAGTGTTTTTAATTTCAAAATAAATAAATAAAATCAAATTCTAGTCCAGAAATTAATTCTAGCTATTTTATCATTGAATATAAATACATGTTAGCTATTCCTCTATTATATTTCTATTTTATATCCTAAAAAAATAACTTTTTGCTGATGATATGGAAAATATTCTATTTAATAAAATCTTCTTCTGATTTAATTGTCCATCAAAATTATTAGAGTTCATTATCTGTGTGGTTTGATCATAATAAATTATCGTTAAATATTGATAAGTTTTGAGAACTGTCGTTTATCAGGTCTCGTACACCAATAATTAGGGAATTATTCTTAATGACTACCAAAGATAATATTGTACTACAGCGTGTGTATGAAATTTCAGATTTGGGCATTATATTTTCAACTCGTCTTTAACTTTCGACAAACTTTATTTACATATTGCAAAAAAATCGTCATCCACTTGATGTCTTAAAAATATTGTATTTTTCAATAGTACATACAACTCTAGAATGCAGTTCTATTATATGGTTACCTTCTACTACTATTTATAAACAAATCGTTAAAGCTATCCAAAATGGATTTTTCAGTTTATTTCGTATAAATTTGATATTTCTGGTCAGCCTCATACACAATATAAATCGTAATAAAAATCAATTATATATGATAAGTTAATATGAGAAAAACTATTGATTTTAAGGGCCTATATTATAAAATATTCAATGTTCATATTGACTGTTCTGAATTACTAGCTGCTTTAGTTTTTAACATCTTTGATTGTTGAGCAAGATCTGTAGCGTTTTGTTTCCTTATTAAAAAGTAATCTTAGGCAATAGTTATCTATCAATAGAGTAATGAAATCGACTAGTAATGTTCTGGTTTACTTATTTAATTTTGATGGAGTGTATTTTTAATTTTATTATTATTACCTACCCTTTCAGAAATTATATTTAGTTAATTAAATTATTATTATTAAACATAATTAATATTTGACGATTTTATTCTTAACATACATTTATTTCAGACATTATGTACTAACATTAGTCTGAGCTGTTATTAGGTTTATTCCGCTTAAAAAAATATTTGTATATAAATATAGTCGGTTTCATTGGATATTATATATTTTTTTCTTGTTTTCATCATCTTACCGTTTTTCGGCGGTTCGTTCACTTGAACGAACCGCTTGTTTTAATTGAATTCAATAATTTTCATTCTACAAGGAATTCGCATGCGAGGGTTGTAACGAGACAACATCACACGTTGTTCCTGTGTATAACGTATATGCCACTATCGCCCTCGCGGCGTGAAAACCGGCTGAAAAGACTGTTGTTATCGGCATTCGTCGAACCAGGTAGCGCGCGATTATCTGACCGTTTCAAACCCGCATATAACATACACAGTTTCAATGATATTATTGCACACTTCTGTTACGAACGTAGGGAATTATTACACATATAATAGCCTCGAAATTTTCCATAAAATCAACATTCCCCCGTACATAGGTGTGCTATCGATTAGCTTTAAGGATACGATCGATTCCAATAAATCACGTATCATACGTAGATCCACGATTAAAGATAAGAAAAACAGACTTAAAAAACATAATAATTGATTCATTAAATTCATCAGCTAGGGAACAAAAACTTATTCAATTGAAAAATAAAATAGCAACTGTTGTTAATGAAGGTGGGACTGAGTTAGAAGGTATTCTTGAACCAAATAATTTTTCAGACTCAACAATTTTTGATTGTACTGTTTATTATTTATCTGGGTAGGTATACATTTGTATCAGAATATAAAAGAATATTTTGTTTATATACTAACTGAAATTTTTATTTTTAGGTATATTGCAAAGCGTTTAATTAATCAAACGAAATGCAATATTTGTATAAATGGCTTAAAAAATTTTGGTGGTAATACTTCAGCGAAGGCTGATTTAGTAAATTTAAAGTCTAGAGGTTATTTAACTCATCCCAATCAAAACTTGTTCTTGATGCTAAGAAATTTAGAAGAATGTTTCCAAAAATATGCAGATTCTATTCATGTTTTTGAAAACATATACGAAGAATTTTTAACCTACTATACTAAGTTGAATTTTCCATGTACTAGTCGTGAAACTGAAATACTTACAGATATATGTAGTACATTTATAATAATGAGAATGAGACAATTCACGTATATAAAAAATCAAATGTCTAAAAAACAAAATAAGACTAAAAAGAAATTGTCTAAATTAGTAGCTACCTAATTAATAGTAGGTAAAAAAAGATAATTTTCATTTAAACTAAATGATTTTTAAATTTTATTTAAGTATCTAGCTGTAAGTTATATAGGTACTAATATTATTAAATTTATAAGTATTGTGTACTTTAATCTTGTACACATTCAACATTTTTTTATATGAAATATAAATAAAAAAATAGAGGTTAATCAAAAATACTTGCAAATTATTATTATTATATGGTATTTTAGTTTAAAAGAATATTGTTTATTATTATCATACATATTATTATCTATGATTATTATTGCCTGTGGTAGTATCACATACATACGATTTTTTGCACAAATTCACCACTTGGATCGCTATACTTCAGTTCTTTGGTTAAAATAAATTACGGGCAACACCAAGTTAAAGCTCGTTGAGCAACCATCTTATCTTTAATCGTGCGTAGATCTAATGTATAGCTACACCGGGTACTTCCCCCATCTCGTACACGTTGGTAGAGCGGCAGCAGTCCAACAATCACCCGTACAGCCGAGGAGCCTAGGAGCCGTCACCACCGAGAGTGTGTGAGCCATCGCCGTCCAAACTTGAACGTGTCCAGTGTCCACCCAGAGTACGCCGAGTGCATTACCCAACGCTGCTGCCCGCATCAGACCTCCACGTCCATCAACCGTGCGGTGCAGAATCATCCTCCCCCTTCTTCAACCGTGTGTCAGTACGTACTAGGAGTCATTCGACGCTGCCATAGGCTATGCTGCTAAAACAGCGTAGTATACTTTGGTCAGCACGTTGGCCTTACTGTGTAAATCTCCTAGTACGAACACTGACATTTCGGTATTGTGAGTAATACCCCGTAATATATATATATATATATGTCGTGAAGATATGTAAACTCGACAACGAGTATTGTTATTTATGCATAAATTGTATACCCGATTTTAATATTGTAAAACAATAATAATTGTTATCGTCATTTCACTTGTATTATTATTATTATTATTCAAATAAAAGTTAACAGAATAAAAAAGCTATACGGACTTTACGTTTTGTTACAGGGTATACCTATCATACAGGTTTACGTCAGTTTCTACTAATACGACAGATCGAAAAATTGGATTGGCTGTTTCGTGTATGGTATTTAATATTACTTGAGCGGAGTCCCGATGGAGTAAATGTACAGTGCTCTTGTACACGATGAGAAGATGAATTTAAACAATTAGTTCCGATATTTCCTCTTGCTCGTACAATTACACTGATAATTATTCCACTGCCAATTTAACATCAGTGTAATGCACCATTGTCTTTTAATATAAGTTGTACGGTTGTTCTTGTCTGTAAGTTTTGCGTATACAAAAGAACATGATACAATAATATTATTATTTGTTTGGATGAAAATGATTTAATTATTATTATTTGCCACGTGTGTAATATAATGTATTATATGAAATTCATATTATGAATATATATTTTTAGATTCCGAGTGTATTGGTTTTACCATAATGTGTTTATTTGTTTTGTTTATGTACATAATTTCGACCAGAAGGAGTGCTCCGATTATCATCAAATAAAAACCGAAAGATAGAAATATTGTCTAGTTGGTACTTTAAGGAAAGTATGATAATTTTACTAATTTCCCAACAGTTTTTGTAATAATTTTGAATAACTAACGAAAAGCAATAACAATGTGCAAAGTGTACAGCATACCGGTTTTCGACAAAATCGAATTTATTGTTTTTATTGTAACTCAAAAAAATAATAAACATATGGACTAACATACTTATTAAAGATGCATTTAATACGTATATTACCGTTTGCTATAGAAAATTTAATTTTTAAAAGATTTTTTCCATGAGCTTTTTATAGAAAATTGAAATATTCATGTTTCTTAGCTTTTTTTTCGAAAATATCGATTAAATAATTTTGGATTGACAAAAAGTCTTGAGAATGTAATAACAAATTTTTCATACATATAAATAAATCGATCTAGGACATTTCGGCGCCAGGTGTTATTATGGACATTCTGTTGGATGAATTACCAGAAGAAATCTTACCCTTGTTAGACTGGTTTGAAGAAAATTATATAGGTAGATTTCATAGAAATCGACGTCGAAATGCACGTTTTCCTCCAAATCTGTGGAATGTCCACGAACGAGTTTTAAATAAAAATGATAAAACTAATAATTATGCCGCTGCCGCTAATAGACGACTCAATGTTCAAATGGGGGTTACTAATCCAACACTATGGGCTTTTATATCTTGCTTAAGAAAAATACAGAGTGGTCGGGATACTTTTTATTGCCAATTAGAAGCTAGTAAAAGCCCACCGAAAAAACAAAAACAATTTTTGGATGTTGATAAGCGAATCTTTAAAATAGTTAGCAATTATAATAATAGGGACATATTAACATTTTTAAGATGTATCGCTCATAATTTAAGCATGACATATTAATATACTACATATTTATTTTATTATAAGAGTAACATATTGATATTGTATTATTAATTTTATATTTATTATTTATTAAGCACGACATTGTCATAACGACATTTAACATACGTAACAGACCTATTTTATTATTTATTTTATATTTGTTATTTATTAAAAAAGACATTTTGATATTTTATTAAAATTGTAAATTTTTTGACAATATCTATAAAAGTGAATTATAATATTAATTTTATAGAAGTAAATTTGTGTATTATGTAAATTAGTGTAATCCAGCGCCGAAACATACCTCGCGCCGAAATGTCCGTGTCCGTAAATAACTGATTAAAAAAAAAAAAAATTATGAACAATTAAATTTTAAATTTTGACAAAATGATAAAAGTTAAGAAAATTCATAGAATTTCCAATTTTTATACTTGAAACATGAAAATGGGTTATGATATTTTTTATAGGTTTTTATTTTTGTTGAAAAAAAATATTAGAAATTCTCAAAATTGATTTATAAATGTTAAAAAATGAAATGTTGATGAATTCGGATACTTTAATGAATCAAACGACATTAATAATTTAGATAAAGACATTTATTAGTTTCAAATTTTTTTAATGAAGTTTGTGCTGTTTATAGGCACTTAAAATGTTCGATTTCCCCATATCTTAAATGCTGTGAAAGTTACAATGTGAAAAGTGCGATACGAGTATATTTATTAAGAAATTTGGTTCCTTACTACATAAACCATCTTTAGATATATAATCTGATCCACTCGATCATAGTCACTCAAAATTGTTTTTTTTTTTTTTTTTTAAGAAAAATAGTACAATGGTATACAATATCGCAATACTATTCACTAATTTTGTACTTCATTCGACCTAAGAGTTTCGTCCTTATTTTTTTTTTTCATTTATTCTATAAGTCTTTGAAAACATAAGTTTTTAGTCTAATAATCAAATTTAAAATCTAGTTATCTAGTTATAAGATAAGTAATTATAAGATATAATTAACATAAAATTTACAGAGATTTGAGATCTTAAAATTTTTGAGCTATATTGGTATTTTGGATAAAATAGAGTATTTATGTAATGTTTTCCTTGTTGAGGATACACTTAAGATATACTAAGGTATAACTAACAAGGTATACTATAGCTGAGTTATTAAGAAATTTAGGAACTTTGATATATTTTGAGTAGTTGATCATAATGTATTTTATTGTAGTCGTGAAATACGTACATGCGTCACAATAATGCACACTAATGCCAATTCTTTGCTGATGATTTATGAACGTTTTAGGTTGGTACGTATTCCTTTTACACATTCTCGTAGTATTAAATTATATAATTTTACTTGTTACATTTTCGTAAATGAACAAAATTAGAATTGGTTACATGACGTTGGCGTAGCCGAGTGGTTGAGCAGTTGGCTCCGGTTAAGATACCTGAAGTTCTGCATAACGATCCGAGAATTATATTGATATAACACACTCTTATATGAAAAACACGGATTTCCGAAAAAAAAATTAACATCAAGAAATAAAAATTCATAATTGGAAAAATCGTCAAAATTTTTATAGAAATTATACTCGTACAATAATAAAATTAAATTTTATTTAAGTAATCTTAAAAAAATATCGATTCATTTTACTATTGATCATATTAGTTAAAATTTTGCATTGAATATTATAGTTTATGTTTTTGCGATCGAACGAGATCGGGTGATTCCTGTTTGGGTAAGACTTAAAATGTTTTGTTTCGGATATTTTCTTTAAAATTTAACGGCCATCTGATATACCTATCTAAGCACGAGTAATATTATTAGACCCATGCACAGCATTAAACATTTCTTGTATGCGTCAAGCATATTGTAATCGAAAATGTTTCATATTAATAAAGATATTTCTAAGTTTATAATACTAAGCAAGATTGATCACCAACAACGACAAAATTATTTTGTAAGTGGTTTTTTGTTATCGAATTCTGAGAAAACCTACATTAAAAGACTTTTAAAGATTTAACGAATTTATATTTTTACATCGAGATTCTATCAGAATCGTATTTTCTATGTGATTATTTGTTAATAATTTCAAATGTATACAAATATTATAAAAAATACAGCTAACACATCAAGTTCAGTTGATCGAATACTTCTATGCCAAACTAGTATATTTACATATTTTTTTAAATGTTTTGATTTGTTTAGATTAGACATCAGAAACTTATTTATAGTAGTGTGGTGACTAGACATACACAGCTAAAAAAGAAAACACCTATAATAAGTTCTGTATCCTATTGAGTGACTTACTCGTATATTTAAGTTCAATTTATATTCCACACTCTACGTGACTGCCAAAAGTGATTTGTCTGAGGAGTAAAGTGATGAAGGAAAAATCCTAGGTCTTAGTGGTCCAAATACTCTTGCATCTCGCTAACCTTTTTTTATTTTATTTTATTTTTGAATTATTAAAGGTATCATGTATAACAAATATATAATGATGAAAATATACTGGGTAAATATGTAAGGATTGATAGATAGATACAATGACGCCTTTTTGACAAAACTTTAAGGTTTATGAAGTATAATACGTACCTAGTGACAATATTGATCAATCGATGTATTTCTTATTATAAACATTTAAAAAATTTATTACAGTATATTTATACTCGTATCTGTAATGCGAATCTTTATTATAAAAGACATAAAAATAAACTTATTGACAGGTTACAGAAAGTATGCAAAATTTTTTTTTTAGATGTTAACTTCTTGGATAAAAAAGTTGACGTATCATTAGCAGAAATGTATATTTTGTGTATTATAAAGTAGATATATGCAAGTATTTAGGCATAGTGTGTTTGTTCAAACTTTTGAATTATGTTAGGTAAGTCACTTGAAAATGTTAAATAATATTTCAAAATTTTTGTTACTTTGTATATAGGTATAAATATAGGACGTCTAAATCGTAAATAACAATGAATGTGCAAATCTATGAAATTAATGCGCTTCTAATTCCATTATTTTAAGTACACATAAAATCGTAGTAGTTATTCATATATTTCTATTCGTGATTGAATGTCAACAACAATTTAAAATTAAACTCGATAAAACAGAATATTTATTATATAGTGTTGTATAAAATTATAAAATATGAATACTGTGTACTTGATACACTGTGATAAGGTCAAACGAAAAACATAATATATGATGTATTTTATGCATGACTTTTATTAAATAAAATTATAATTTTTCTAATACTGTTAACTCTCGGTAACTCGAACCGTGATAACTCGAAATTATCGATATCTCGAATAATTGAAATTTCCCTTCAAATAAAAATAACACATAATGTAAATAATCTTGTTAACTCGAAAATTAATTTGACAAATTTTCGATATCTCCAATTTTCTTATCCAAATTTAGTACTAAAATTGTTTATCAAGGTGATTATATTTCGCTTATGACTTATTATTTTTTAAATTTTTATCTGAAAAAATCATTCATATTTAAAGGTTAACTTGTTCTGGTGGAAAACATAGTAAAGAAAGAGTAACACTTTAGGGACAAATATGTCGGACACAGAAAAACTAAGACCACTATGTTTAAAACAAGTAAAATCATTAACATTAAATTATTATGCGAACAAAAAATTCTGGATAACGTCTGAAATTTTTAATTTGTGCTTAATGAAATTAGATAAAAAAATGGTCACTGAAAAAAGGAAAATCTTACTTTTTATTGATAAATGTACTGCACACATTTTAACTTCGACTTTTAATGCTATTCATGTGCAGTTTTTATCTACTAATACTACGACTGTGTTACAATTATTAAACTAAGGCATAATAAATAATTTTAAAATATTTTATCGAAATTATTTATTTAAACCATTTGGTATTTTAGAAAATACAATTGAGAAAATTGGATTAAATAAACAAAAACAATTAACTTTACACAAATTCTTTAAAAATAATAACATGTAATTAGGAATGTAAGAAAATATTTATTTTTTTCTTTAATGTAAAAATTATTTAAAAATAAAAATATAATTTTTAAAAGTTTTTTATAACTCGAAATTTTTAGTAAATAAATTTTTTTTCCGCCTTAAACTTCAAGTTATCGAGAGTTGACTATTAAATACTAACAGAAATTTTATCGGAAATATCAATTTAAAAGGTAATTTTAATGTAATTTATGATAATTTACAATAGATATGTAATGGTCTTACATAGCGTCTCAGTTGAATGATTATTTTTTTATGTATGGAACATTTAGTTATTTTAATTTAAAATGTTCTTAAAGTATTTTAAACTTCAAAATCTGTTTTTTTTAAAAATAAAGTTTACTTTATTTGCCAAAATTTTTTTTCATGTATCTAATTCTAGTTCTTTCAAATACAATATAAATAGGTAACTATAAGTGTAGATTAAAACTTTGTAATGTTTTTTCTACTAATATTTTCACCAAATATAAATTAATTCCAAGAGACATGCAACGTTAGTAATATTACTGGAAATCTAAATAAATATGTAAGTGTCTAGTTATTTTATGTACCCACCTATTTGATCATCCATTAAAAAAAGTCAAATTAAAGGATTTACATTTGTTTTGTAAATTCATTTTAACAGAAATACGTTGTACTCCGCTTACATTTGGGTTCAATTTAATTTTAATAAAACATGTAAGTATATTTCAATGTCTTAAGACTATATTTGACTGGTAATAGATTTCAAAGAACTGGTACACGGAAAAGCACTAGGGAGTCATCTTTAAACATGTGATAGCAAGAATGTTAAAAGTTGATTTGATCGAGTAGGAATCTGAAACACAAAAATGTGTTGCAAAAAAAGAGTTCGAAACATATACAGAATATTGTCCTAGAAAATATCATATTAGACTGCAATCAAATTGTAAGTATTCAAAATAACGAGAAGTTTCTGCGCAATACTTCAATATATAGATATCGGTGTGCTATAACTTTTTTAGATTCCAAACGGAGTATAGAAGTTATTGGTTAGTT